CACCATCCAGTATCACCTACAATGGGTGGGCTCCTCCCACGTCAACTGTCTATCAAGAAGATGCTTGTAGGCGATCTGATGTTGGCATCTTGTTCCCTCTTTCCAATCGACTTTAGTTTGTGTCGAGTCAGCAAAAACTAACCAGCACAGGAGATTTCTAAAACAAGCAAACAAAACAAACAACAAAAACCCTAGAAATAGAACTGTGAAATGACCCAGCCATACCGTTCCAAGAGAACATAGCACAGATGTTTTGTACGGTCATGTTTCCAGCTGCACTGTTCCCAGCAGCTAGGAGGGGGAAGCAGCCTGGCTGTCCATCAATGGGTGAACGGCTAAGGAAAATGTGGTCCATATACACAGAGGAATTTTGTGCAGATGTGGAAAAAACAAATGAATTCATGACATCTATAGCAAAATGAATAGAACTAAATATTCTCTTAAATGTCCATGTTCAGAAAGACAAATACATGCCTTCTCTCACATCTACATTCTGGACTTCATTTCTGTATGTGTTAGAATGTAAAAAGGTTTTTTTAATATGCCTGCTCCAGCCCCCAATTAATGAGACAGAAACCTGGTAGATTCATAATAAGCTCCAAGCACCACACCTGAACTGTACGGATCTATTCTAACTCGACTCTTTTAGCCTGGCCTACTTCCCAGCCATGTGTCCTGTTACCTGTCCTCTAGTCTTGCCCTGGCCGCCTCTGCTCCGTCCTTGTCCCCATGGTGACTTCTCCATAGTGACCTCCTCCTCATGGCATGGCGACCTTTTCCTTCTCCTCTCTGGGACCCTCCAGACAGAGAAAGAAAGTCCCGCCTACTGTCTCCTCTGCCCAGTCATTGGCTCTTGAGCTTCTTTATTAGCCAATCAGAGATAGTCGGGGAATAATTCTTTCACATTGAGACAGGAGATTCCTCAGTAGCAATGACTCTACCCGAATCTGTTAGCATTTAGATCTCTACCAGTTCAGCAATATACGGAGACACATCTTAATGCGATATGAATGAAAGTCACCTCTACATATATGTGTGTGTCTATATGAGTACAGGGCATCCAATGAGGTCTTCTGGGAAGACTGGGGGGGGGGGGGGGGGGACAGAGGGTAAAAGAGAACACCGGGGGGGGGGAAGGGAAGGGAAGAGGGGGGAGAGAAAGGACGGGGGGAGGGGTGGGGGAGGAGAGGACAGGAGGGACGAGAATAAGTAAGACAATGTATGAAAGCCTTACGGCGAAACCTATTGCTTCATGTGCAAATCTTACAAAAATTAATGAAAAATGAAATTCAAAAGATCCAAAAGTTGAAAAACTAATTAAGTTCCCCACTACAAACAGGAATTCCAGTGCTCTGGAATTAAGGCCAGCTGGTCACGGGTGCTGGTCATGGATGCTTCTGAATCTGCTGTATACTGGGGTCACCTCTCCAGAACTCAAATAGCTCCCACTCTCATCCCAGTGTCCCCAGGTCCTCTACCTCCCTCCAGGGAGCTGAGGGTCCCACCTTGCTTTGTTGTTTTGGCGATCTGTTAAGTGGTCCCTGCTGGCTGATCCATCCTGAGAGGCCGGGGTCCCTGCCCAGGCACACTCCAACAACAGTGACGCTCTAGCCAAGTGCTGCTGTGCAGGTCGGATGCTGTCAAGGTCAAAGCCAGGCAGCCTTTGGGTGGGTTTGCTCACTGAGCTCCTGGCCCATGAGTGGGGATTCCTGGTCTTAGGCCTTCTCCCTGCTGTCTTCCCAAACCTGGGCTGTTACTCCTGCCTTAGCACACACAACAGTTTGTCAAAGTCCGGAAGTAAGGGGAAAGGGGACAAACAAACCAAGGCAAGGGACCAGGCTGAGGTAGCCCACTTTTCCTGACTGCTTCAGAAGCCACCAGGCAGAAGCTGTACAAAACAACAGAACATGAAGGCGGAGGAACTCCCGTTCAGTACTGAGAGGAGCAGGCCAAGAAAGAAAGGTGCCTTGTCCAAGTCTTGATGATACAGGAAGCCACCCCTCTCCTGAGAGGGACACCAAGGTACCTCCAAGGGACAGACAGCTCAGGGTAGCAGGCCCACTCCTACTTAGTCTCAAAGTAGTGCAAAACTCCGCTCTCTGTGCATGTCGACTTAGGTCGTTGGGAAGGTAGGACCCTCGCACGGTCGTGCAATCATGAACACTGAAGGGTTCCGTCAGAGCCTTCGGTCTCATGGTCCAAACAACAAAACCAACCTCCAGGGACCATCGCACCTCCGGGACAGGCATGAGAATTCCAAATGAAAAAAAAAAGAGTGGTTCCCATCTGCCAGTCAGAATGCTATTTCAAGAAGATGCCTCACCGGCGAGGCACAGCGAGGCACAGGCCCTCCCTTGCTCTAGGTGAGGAATCCCTGAGTCATTTGCTCGCGTCTCTAGAATCTCATGCCAGGTGTTCTCTTCCTCCTCAAGTGCCAAAGCATTACCACAGAACTCGATGGAAGGTGCTGGATGGATCAATGACACAGAACCGCCTGGGGCAGACGGGGTTCTAGGAGGGTGCCAGGTCCCAGGTGGGCCCAGGAGGCCTGTTCCTCCCCACCCTCTGTCTTTGTGGACAAGCTCCTCTTCTAGGAGCTGGGAGGGACAGATATGATGGCCACTGCTGGCACAGGACAGTTATGGGAGGTGGGCACTCAGGAGCAGCCAGATAGCAAGCGTACCTAGATCCGGGTTTGCCCCTGAGGCAGCACCCTCCATGGGGTCTGGACCCCAGGTTTTCCTTTGGTGCTGACTGAATGAAAATAAAGACATGGCAGCGCTTTGGTGTACTTGAAGAGAAGCTTTTTTATTGTAGGTATGAGGGAGGGAACATCCAGAGGCACCTAGAAGGGTCCAGACTGGGCATGGCCAGTACAGCCGACTAGGTCATGAGAGGAGACAGAGAGGGAAGAGCAAGAGAGGAAGTGAAGAAGACCAAGAGAAGAACAGAGCAGAGGAGACCAGAGGGAGGGAGGGAGGGAGAAAGACAGAGAGACACAGAGAGAGAACAAACCAAGGGAAGGAGGGCCAAGAGAAGAAGCAAAATGGTTTTGGTTATATAGGAATGAGAAGCTGAGAGGAGGGAACAGAGCTCAAGAGCTGATGAGATTTAGGGTACCGGGTGGTAGTGAGAGGTGCTGAGAGGAGCCAGCGTCTGTACCAGGTACTTCCACACTGAGAGAGACTGGTGGCCAGTGTCCTCTTTGATATGTTACTAGGCACCCCTGTTAGCCATTCGTCCTTAGTTTCTTTGGGACCTAACGCTGAGGACGTGTTTGCAAACATCTCAGACCTTTTGAAAGGTTCTGGCTAGGCTGAAGCCAGTGAGAGGACAAGCTGGGAAGGGAGGGCCGGTGAGTGAGAACAAGGGGATTTCTCACCTGGTTTCTTACCTTCTGTACAGCTCCCTCCTAGGAACAGAGCAGGACGTTAGGACCCCCAGGGGTGAGGGGACCAGTGGTAAGCTGCCCCGAAGGGAGAAACTAAAAACACTCCCCCAAATCCTTGATTTGGGACAAATAAAGGGAGCATGCTGGAAGACTAAAGGGACTTTGAGATGCCTTCAAGGATGAAGGTCCTTGAATGACCTTCAAAACACACTCGTCCGGGAAAGGCAAGGTTGAGAATGGTGAAACCCTGCTGGGGCTGAGAAGTGTGGCAACAGTAGCACGAGGGTGAGGGGGTTGTGGCCTCCCTCAGGTCAGCCTGCACCACCCCCATCTGCCCCTAAATGCTTCCTCCCTTGAGGAGGTATTAGTTCTCTCTCACACAAGAAGCCACGGGGAAAGGATCCAGAGAAATTTATCCCCCAACGTCTGCCTTCCTAGCCTTGAAAAATCGTCTGTCCATGACTCTCATGTCGGCTGCCCCTTAGAACACGTCTTACTCTCTGATGAGGTGTGAAGGAACACAGCACCAGCCCACCACAAACAAAAGGAGTCACACACATGCCATTTTCCCTCTCCTCCACACTCCATCTCCCCTTTAATGGGCCCTGCTTCCGGCAGGCACTCTCAGGGTCAGTCCCAAGGTCCTAGGCGCCCTGTGTCCTATCTGTTGTCTGGAAGCAGCTTGGGGACAGACAGGGTGGGCCAACTGGCAGACAGCATCAGCCGCCAAGGGAGTGGGCAAAGTGCCCAGTCCTCCTAGGGCCCCACCTACCAGCCCTGAGTGGGGTGGAATGTTGGCAGGGGTTGGGTCCTTCCGCTGCCTGGGTCTGAAGCACCCTCCTATTCAACTGTCCCGGGACACTCAGGACCAGTGTGGTGGGCTAGTCTTGGAGGGGCTCCTTCAGGGCCATTAGAATATCTGGCTTTAACTTTCCAACTTGATGATTATTTTGAGGGTTTTTGTTTGTTTGTTTTGTTTTTCTGTAACAAAAGTAACTGGCGTTCAACTAACCGTTTCTTAGAGAATGCCAGGCATTCCTGCAGCTGGCCGGCCCTCTCGGGGAAGAGGTGAAGGTCAAAGGGCAACCACTGCTGGCTGTACACCGAACGCCCGACATAGTTGGAGTGATCAGTCCAGAGCCATCAGCTCTAGAGCCCCACGTCGAAAATCCCGTCCTGCTGCGTCCGAAGGGGGCAATGAGTACCCGCGGGGCACCGTACCCGCCCCGAGGCCCCGGGAGAACTGGTCCCCAAGCAGGCTCGGCCTCCTGGTCGGTGGGCCAGAGCAGTGTCGCCCGTGCCCGGCAGGGGGCGCCGACAGTCTCAGGCGGCTGCGGAGCCCGGCCCCTGACGTCACCGCCCGCGGTCGCCATGGCGACGGCCTCAACGGCGCGCGCGTCAGAGCCTCCAGTCTCTTGGCAACCGCCCGATCTCCGCTCCCCCTCTGCCGGCTCTGGGCCGCGCGTCGCTCTGGCGTCAAAACGACGTCAATGGGCTGTGCCTGCCGCGGGGGGCGGGGCGGGGCGGGGCTTACGCTGGGCGGGGCGGGGCGGGGCGGGGCGTTGCCGCGTGCGGCCGGCGGCGGCGGGGCGCTGACATGCGGCGCGGCCCGGGCGGCGGCGGCAGCGTTGGTGGCGGCGGCGCGAACTGCGGGCGCCGGAGCAGAGCGAACAGCCGAGCGGGTGGCGTCCCGGGTCGGGCGCACGGAGGGCGGCGGAGGTGAGCGGCGGCGCGGGTTCGGGTCCCCGCGGCCCGCAGGTGCGCGCGTGGGGTCGCTGGGCAGGACTCCAGCCTCGCGGGCTCCCCATTGTTGCGGGTCGGCGCCCGGAGGCGGGTCCGCGAGCACCGGATTGAGGAGCCTGTCCTGGGGAGCCAGGGGCGGGCGCTGGTGGATGGGAGCGCGGTGAAAGCCCGGGACCCCAGGGTGTCTAGGGACTGGCGTGGGGTCGACCGCGGGTGGACTGCTGGCGCGCGCGCCCGGCCAGGACCGGGGGTCGGAGGGCGCGTGCGTGGGGGCCCCGCGCTCAGGGAACCTGGGATCGTGGGGGCGCGCGCGTGGGGGCGCGGGCTGGGAGCCCGGGATCCGAGGGCTCTGGCCGGTGGGATTCGTGGTAGGGGACTGCGTGCGTGGGGGCTTCAGCCGGGGACACGGTGTCAAGGAATGAGCGAGTCGGGGTGCGAGCTGGGATCCAGGGTCGGGGGCCACTCCGCGGGCTGAAGGAAGACGGGGTCGAGGACGCACGCGTGGGGGCCTGGCGGACGCAGTTTCGGTGGCCACGTCGTGGAGGCTGGGGCTGGCGGGGGGCCCAGCGGGGTCGGGCCGGCGTCGGCCGGTGCTGAGCGCACTCCTCGCTGACCCGCAGGTGCGGCCCGAAGCCATGGTGATCATGTCGGAGTTCAGCGCGGTCCCCTCAGGCACAGGCCAGGGCCAGCAGAAGCCCCTCCGGGTGGGCTTTTACGACGTGGAGCGGACCCTGGGCAAAGGCAATTTTGCGGTGGTTAAGCTGGCGCGGCACCGAGTCACCAAAACGCAGGTGCGCGCGCGTGTTGTGTGTGTGTGTGGGGGGGAGTACTAAACCCGGGGAGGGGGGGTGTTGGTGAGTGGATCCAGCCAGGGGGTGGACCCCTTTGCTGATTCAGTCCTGCAGAGTTGATTGTCACAATTGTAAACGATGGCAGTGTTTAGTCTGGTAAAGGGGGGGAAGCTTTGTATTATGTTTCTGCATAATTTGTACAATTACTAGGGAGCAGCAAAGATAATAATGACCAGAACCACCCCCTCCCCGCCAAAAAATAAAAAGAGAAGGGGGGGGGGGACCAGAAATGAGTGGTTCCTTAGTAAGCACAAGGTTATTGGCTACTTTTTATTTTCTCCCAATTTCTTGTGACCTTTTGAAGGCATCAAATGTTTGAGAAATTCATTTGCAAAAAAAAAAAAAAAAAAAAAAAAGTGCAAATGAGATCTGTTTACCCCCTTTTCTTCTTAAAATCTGCAGGTTGCAATAAAGATAATTGACAAGACCCGCTTAGACTCTAGCAATCTGGAGAAGATCTACCGGGAGGTCCAGCTCATGAAACTCCTGAACCACCCGCACATAATCAAGCTGTACCAGGTGAGCCTGGGTGCCTCGCTGCTCCATGGGCATGTGCAATGCTTTTCACGTGCCACACCCCGAGCCTGTGGTCCCTGAAGGTGGCCTGGCTTTCTGCTGCTGTGCAGGACCCAGGGGGTACAAAGTAAATGCATTGACCTCGCTTAGATTGTGTAGCTCTATTGATGGTTTTAGTCTCTTGCTCTGGGGTATACTTGATTTCCTCTCGTTTTGTCAAGTATTGTGATTTGTTGCAGTTTTGGATGTACTGAGGTCTGTTGATGAAGTCCTGGCATTGTGAGAATAGCCACATGTAGGATCAGGCTTAGTGCAGAAGGACAAACTTGAGGGAAACTCGAAACTTCCGCCTTTGCAGATGAGGACTAAATGTTTAAAAAAAAAAAAAAAAAAAAAAAAAAAAAGCAGCAGCTGTTCTTTCCAGTTTCCCCCAATGTATCTTTGTGATGGCAGTGGCCAGCCCTTGCCTCCAGGGAGTGTAACCGGTGGTGCCTGGGGAAGACAGGGTGATACTTTAACCCTAGGAACCTGACATTTAATCTCGGGTGAGAATGTGCCTCACCCGTTTGTCTGTTGGCTGCTCCCTGACAATCTTCCTCGATCTGCCTAGTGATAGATAAACCGTGGCTCCCGCTGCCATGGAACGGGTCTATGTGCAGAGGAGCCAGGCCTTGTGAATGATGCTGTGTGAATCCTGTCGGTGGCCCTCAGAATCCCCGTGTGCCTGAGGTGACTACAGGCAACTGTGCAGCTGGAAAAGCTGTGTGTACGGTGCAGCAGGGGAGAGAACTGTAATTTAAAATTACCTCTGGCCGTCCTTCTCAGAACAAAGGCAGACAAGTCGCTGGAGCTCGTATTTGGCCTGTGGTGCTGGCTCCCTCCTGTCTCTAAGCACAGAGCCCGGGGCTGTGTGCTCAGGGGTCATGCTGTATTCCAATTTTCATCTTTTAAGCTGTGCTCCAAGATAAGTTTCCTCCATGACCAGTGCTTGGGAGAGGGGGCCGGGAAGATGCCTCCCCTGACCTTCGGAACAGGCCCACTCTTGTGCTCCTGCCCATGGAGTCCAACCTTTGCTGCTTGCAGAACCTTCCTTTCCTCCCTGCTTTCCACTTGTCGACCAGGTCAAAGCCGTGCCATACGGAGGAAATGTTACCCGGGCGATGGTTGCCAGCGTGGATATTTTAACTCCTGTCTTCAGTGGCTCAGCTTTCAGGATTGGGTGGGCTGCTCTCGACACTGGTGTCCAGCATTCATTCCGCTGGCCTGGGCCCTAGAGTCCTGCTGAGGCATTATTCTCTCCTGTGGGTGGGAGTGGGGAGAGTTTGTTTGGTTTCATTTGTTGAGAATAGGGTCTTGCTGTGTTGCTGCTCCAGCTGGCACGCTGCTCTCTGTGTCTTGATGGCCTTCGACTTGTGGCAGTCCTCCTGCTGTAGTCTCCTGAGTGCTAGGATTACAGATGTCTCCCGCCACACTTGGTTTATTTAGGGTTTTAAAAGGTTAAAAGATGTAGACTCTTAAGTTCGTTTTCCTTTATCAAGAAGAAGAATAAGCAGAGGTCTTCTGCCGCACTGTGGGGAGGGGAGATGACAGATAAATTTTTAGCCAAATTGCTATTTTTTTAATAACACTTTTCTTAGTAAATTTATGACTCAAAAAGATTCTTTAAAATATCTTTTAAAGGAATAACAGTATGTCTTGAACCCAAAGAAAGCTTTCTTTCTGTCAGGGTACATTCTCTTTCTCTCCCTAAATGTTTTATTCATTTATTTGTATTGAGACAATTTCACTATGTAGACTGACCGGCCTGGAATGTGCTATGTAGTCCAGGCTGGCCTTGAACTTCCGGCAGTTGTGCCTCTGCCTCCCGAGTGCTAGGATGACAGGTGTATGCTACCATACCTGGCTCCTCTGGAACATTTAAACTATACACGTACATGGGTGTCTTTTAATTTGTTTCAGAACCAAAAAATCGAATTTTACTTTGTTGCTTAGTTACGGTTTAAATTTTTTTAGCTAACAAAGTTGTCGGTCAATGAATGAACTCTGAAGGTGTATGTTGACCCTGGCCCTTCCTGTTGACACATGCCAAGCAATGCGCTGTACAAAGAGCAGTCCCCATGTTCTTAAGGCTTAATGCCTCGTCAGGAAAGCAAGTGGGGGGTAGGATATTTGTATTGATTACTCAGTTTGCTTTTCTTTTTTCTTTTTCTTTTTTTTTTTCTTGAATGACCATTTGTCCATGGGGCTTCTGAAAGGATGCTCCTAGGATTCTGACGTTCATGCCCTCCAGAGCTCCCAGGAGGCATTGCAAGGCAAATGGCTTGCCCTGTATAGCCCTGTTTGTGGCTCTTTCCCTTTTAAGAGCAGAGTTGCCAGGACAGACAGGACCAGGAGATGGTGGGGTGGAGGGGTTTATCCGAAGCCATGTAAAGTTGTATCTCTCCCTGCATTATGTTTCTTTCCCCTCCGTCTCTCCTTCCTTAAATGATGGAAGCAGTTTCTTGGACAGGTCAAAGGTTGTTTGGGGTTCAGGTGCATCCATGATGGCTTCCGTGTGATCCTTTCTCCTCGGCTTAAATTTTTCCTTTTTGGTTGTTTCAGGTTATGGAGACAAAAGATATGCTATACATTGTCACAGAATTTGCAAAAAATGGAGAAATGTTCGGTGAGTCGCGTTCATTTTAGCGTCAGGCGAAACCTGCCTCCTCGTGTGTGCCTGTCTCCCCTGTGGTTCTCAGTGTGTATCCCTGCCCAGCCCCCGGTCGTGGCAGGCTCGGCATCTTGGGATGTGACTTAGTTTTATTGCCCCTCAGATTACCTGACCTCCAATGGGCACCTGAGCGAAAACGAGGCTAGGAAGAAGTTCTGGCAGATCCTGTCAGCGGTGGAGTACTGCCACAACCATCACATAGTGCACCGGGACCTCAAGACGGAGAACCTGCTGCTGGACAGCAACATGGACATCAAGCTGGCAGGCAAGACTATGTGGCTCGGGAGGCCCCGTGGGGTTTCCGGTGTCCCCTCCAGCGCAGCGCTGCTCGCCAGTCCCAGACTGATGCCGGTGCCTCTTCCTCTGCCTCACAGATTTTGGATTTGGGAATTTCTACAAGCCAGGCGAGCCTCTGTCCACGTGGTGTGGGAGCCCCCCCTATGCAGCCCCTGAAGTCTTCGAGGGGAAGGAGTACGAAGGGCCCCAGCTGGACATCTGGGTAAGAGCCCCTTTTGGACCCTGACGCCTGCTTACCCGATCCCCCCGGAGCCGGCAGCGCAGCACCAACCAACGCTGCTCTCCTGTCATTCACAGAGCCTCGGAGTGGTGCTCTACGTCCTCGTCTGCGGCTCCCTCCCCTTTGACGGACCCAACCTGCCGACCCTGAGGCAGCGGGTGCTGGAGGGGCGCTTCCGCATCCCCTTCTTCATGTCTCAAGGTGGGTGGGCGTGGAGCTGGGCCGCCCTGGCGGTAGGGGAGTGGTGGTGGGTGGGTCTGGCAAGTCTGCCGTCAGGTCAGGACTTAGGTCCAGGCGATCAGGCTGCAAGAGAAACTCAACCCACAGTTGCTTTCCCACTGCCCCTCCTTACAGCGTGGGCAAGAGCCCCCCCCCCCCCCACAGTTGTGTCCTGTTAGTCTTATCTCTGTATTCCCCCCCACCGTCAGGCACAACAGTGCCCGCCCCTCTCACACACATAAGCCTTTCTGTTTTATAAAGATGCCTTAACCTCACGTGTGTCAGGACAGGAGGGAGAGTCTGAATGGTTTCCCACAGGGGACATTTAGAAAGAGTAGAGTGTGTCCCCTGGGTCTGGCCCCCCACTCGGTGGCTCTTCTCCGCAGCAGGGGGAAGACTGTAGTGGCAGCTTCAGGCGTCCTGGCTATCACTCGGGTGGTTTTCACGGGGGTGGGGATAAGCCCCCCGGTTCAGCACCCCTGTCCTCAGTGTGCGACCTTCACCTCCGCAGACTGCGAGACACTCATCCGACGCATGCTGGTCGTGGACCCCGCCAAGCGCATCACCATCGCCCAGATCCGCCAGCACCGGTGGATGCAGGCCGACCCCACCCTCCTGCAGCAGGACGACCCCGCCTTCTCCATGCAGGGCTACACCTCCAACCTGGGCGACTACAACGAGCAGGTGCTGGGTATCATGCTGGCCCTAGGCATCGACCGGCAGAGGACAATTGAGGTGAGCACTCGGCGCTTAGCCCTGACTAGGCCTCACGTCCTGGGGTGGCGACAGGATGGGCTTTCTCGGGCAAAGCAGGCCTGTAGGATTAAAATGGGAGTCCAGTCTAATTTAAGGGCCGCTTGTCCCCTTCTCTAAGAATATTCCTGGCCCCCTGGAAGTTACCTCGGGACGGTCTCGTAGACAAGCCTAGTGGCCAGGGCAGCCGGGGCCTTGGTCTGACCCACTGCCCCTGCTCCCCAGTCCCTGCAGAACAGTAGCTACAACCACTTCGCTGCCATTTACTACCTCCTCCTTGAGCGCCTCAAGGAGCACCGAAGCACCCAGTCCTCATCCCGGCCCGGCCCTGCACCTCCCAGACAGCCCAGGATCCGCAGCCCGGACCTCAGCAGTCTGGAGGTGAGGAAGAGCTCCCACCCAAAGCCCTGCTCCTGTCCCTTTTGTTGTCCCCTCAGAGCCAGCAGCCCCTTGCTTAGTTAGACATGGCACTGACTCTCAGGGCAGGCCCCTGGACCTCACTGCACCCCCAGCTGTGCTTCAGCCACAGGCTGTGGGAAAAAGAGGGGCTTTGGGGATCAGGGGACGGGTTATGGCTGCTGCACTCTAGGCCAGGCCCTGCCCTTCAGCCCATTCCTAGCACCCGGTCCTGGCCACCTGCACATGCTTATGGTCATAGATGAAGGCCCCGGATCCCGAGCCCGAAGCCCGTTCTGCTAGCTTCTGGCCTCTGTCGGTTTCATCTGCGGAACCAGCCTGCTGCCACGGATAGTTGACCCTGGAATCACTTCCTAACAATTCCTCCCTCCTCTCTGGCCCCAGGTGCCTCAAGAAATTCTCCCGTGTGACCCTTTCCGGCCCTCTCTGCTGTGTCCGCAGCCCCAGGCCTTGGCTCAGTCTGTCCTGCAGGCCGAGATGGACTGTGACCTGCACAGTTCCCTTCAGGTGTGTGGGTGCTGGTCCCTTGTGGGTGACTCGCCCTTTCCTGGTGGCCGGGTTGCATCGGTCTTAGGGCCCTGGAAGTTACCGGCCTCTGTCCCTCTCCTGCAGCCCTTATTCTTCCCCGTGGATACCAACTGCAGCGGAGCATTCCGTCACCGTTCCGTCTCCCCCAGCAGCCTGCTGGACACAGCCATCAGTGAGGAGGCCAGGCAGGGTCCTGGTCTGGAGGAGGAGCAGGAGGTCCAGGGACCCCTGCCTGGCAGCACAGGCCGGAGGCACACGCTGGCTGAAGTCTCCACCCATTTCTCCCCACTCAATCCTCCTTGTAAGTCCAAATACCCGGCATCCAGGTTGAGGGTCAAGTCCAAGTTGAATTCACTTGAAGTGGGCTCTTTGCCTGCCACACTCCTCCAGTTAAAGGGTTTTGTTGTTGGTTTTTCAGTGACCCCGTGGTTCATCCTTGGGCATGCATGTACCTTTCTCAGTGACAGGCCACCCCTTGGCTGCCCGGGCACTGGAGGGCCTCTTCCTGTCCTGGGGTCTGAGTGATGCTGTTAGCCTTTCATCTGTGCTTGCATCCATGGGCTTATTTTATATCCAGGGCCGCTGGACTCTGCTGGCCCAGAATACCACTGCTACTGGACCCCTCACTAGCAGGTGTGAACCCCGTCCCTCAGGCTGTACTCTGGGGTATGAGGTCTCCTTCTCAGGCAGCTGATCTTCCCACAGGCATAATCGTCTCCTCCTCTGCCACAGCGAGTCCCTCAGAAGGAACTAGCTCTGACAGCTGCCTCCCCTTCTCTGCAAGTGAAGGTCCTGCAGGGCTCGGTGGCGGCCTGGCCACTCCAGGGCTGCTGGGCACCAGCTCTCCAGTCAGATTGGCCTCCCCTTTCCTGGGGTCACAGTCAGCCACCCCTGTGCTACAGGCTCAGGCAGGTCTGGGCACAGCTGTCCTACTTCCTGTCAGCTTCCAGGAGGGACGGAGAGCGTCAGATACCTCACTCACTCAAGGTAAGGCCCCCTTCCCTACCCATCCCTCCTGCCCCAGGTAGTGCTGCTGTCTCGGCAGGCCGTCTCTCTTCTTGGTGGAAGTTCTGCCCCAGCCCCAGCATGAGAGGACCATCAGTGCCCTTTAGACAGAATGGAGGCCCCACCCCAGTTCTAGGCAGCCTGTCTTGCAGGGTGGACTCAGACCTGGCCCTGAGTGTGAGGGACAACCATTTGGGGCAACAACTCCTGCCTGGCAGGAGAGCGAGGGCCAAGGAGAGACTCTTGACATAAGGGTCAGGGGTAGCTGTGAGGCCCTCTCTGTCTGTGTCAGTCCTGGGAGCCTCCAGAGCCCAGTGCGCTGCACACACCCTCCTCCATAGCATAGTACCTAGACACACCTGTCCTATTGTGGGAGGGACTACAGCCCCAGACCTGCAAAGAAGGCTGGCCATGGAGGAGGCGTGGATGTTGGTCAGGAGGTGGCACTTGCCAGGCCCCATAGGGAACCTCAGCCATAGCTGCCCGGCTATCCTTTCCTTCCCTCCACCTCAGGGCATGGCAACTCCAGCAGGCTGAAGGCTGTTGGCCGTAACCTAGAGCCAGGCCTGCTAACCCCTGCTCTTGTCTCCACAGGGCTGAAGGCCTTCCGGCAGCAGCTGAGAAAGAATGCGAGGACCAAGGGGTTCCTGGGACTGAACAAGATCAAAGGGCTGGCGCGCCAGGTGTGCCAGTCCTCCATCCGTGCTTCCCGGGGAGGCATGAGTACCTTCCACACCCCAGCCCCCAGCTCAAGCCTGCAAGGCTGCACAGCTAGCAGCCGGGAGGGCAGGAGCCTGCTCGAGGAGGTGCTGCACCAGCAGAGGTAGGCCTGCCACGCCCTTCCTGTGTTCTTCACCCTTTCTTTTAAGGAGCTCGTGAAGCAGGCATCCCCCCTTCCCTGTGTGCTGAGATGTCCCCTGTCATGTGGCCCCTCGCTGAGGTCCCTGCAGCCTGGGACCTTCAGGATAGAGTGAGGAGAGGCAGTGGGCAGGTTTAGTAACCTTCTGTGGGTGGAGGGCCGTGATGACCAAGACTCTCCTGTTGAGCTGGCATCTCTGCTCAGGAATGTGTCACGCCACACGCAAAGCTGTGTGAAAGCTCATCTGCCAAGAGCAGCTCTGAGGTGGGCGGGACCCACCTGGGCAGTGTGGAAACCGGAGAGCTTCTAGGCAGAGCCAACAGAGTGACCTCTTCCCTCCCCGTCTCTCTGTTCTTCAGGCTGCTCCAGTTACAGCACCATTCAGTCACCTCATCCAGCTGCCAGCAGGGCCCCCAGCCATCCCCTGTCCCATACGTGCTCGCACCCTGTGATGGCCTCCTCATGTCTGGGATCCCACTGCTGCCGGCACCCCTCCTCCAGGCTGGCATGTCCCCCGTGGCATCTGCTGCACAGCTCCTGGATGCCCACTTGCACATCAGTGCTGGCCCAGTGGCCCTACCCACCGGGCCCCTGCCACAGTGCCTCACCAGGCTGGCCCCAAGCTGTGATCCTGCTGGGCTGCCACAGGGGGACTGTGAGATGGAGGACCTGACCTCTGGCCAGCGGGGGACATTTGTCCTGGTACAGTGAGTGGGGGTGGCTCTGCCTGCCGCACCCCGCCGTGGCCGACTGACTCTTCCAAGCAATAATTTCAGAGTATGTGAAGATGGTTTCGGACTCAAAGCCAAGAACTTTCTAGACGTGAAACAAGCAATATGTTTGGTGTATGGGCTTTTTAGGAAATTTTTTTTTTTTTTTTTTTTTTTTTTTTTTTTGTTGTTGTTTGTTTTTCCTTGCACTGAGTGACCTCAATGGTGAGTAGGGACTGAAACTTTCTGAAGAAAAATAATAATTGAGGGTGTGTCATACAGGCGGGTGGATGGGAGGGGTAGCGGGGTGAGAGGAAAAACCCATGCAGCTGGGGTGAAGGAGAAGAGGGGGGCCATGCTGCTCAGGGACCTACACTCCCGTTTGTCAGTTCATCGCCGTAACATGGCGAGCTTGGTCACCCCTGGAGGGGAGCGGCACCGAGTGTGGCACATACCCGTGTGTTGGTTGTCACTGTCCTGGGTTTGGGTTCACAGCTCTCCACTTCTGAAATGCTCGTGCTTTAACAAAAACTGTGAACTTGCTGCTTTCCGAGTAGGACCGGCCTAGGGGAAGGCCGGGCACAGAATCTGGATTTTTTTTTTTTTTTTTCCTGTCAGCCCGTGGACGGCCTCATCGTAGCGTAGCTTGGACTTTGTAGCTAGCTGCTCAAGTCAGTTTGCCAGGCTTATTCAGAGGACTGGAAGGGGTTTAGGACCTGCAGGTAGGAGCTCTGTCCCATGGTCGCTCAGCCCAGGGCCCCTCACACCTCAAGAAAGCCAGGAAGTTCCTTCCTGCCATCTCTCTCGACTCCGCTGCTAATTATCAGATTTTTACGCATTTCATTATCAGGGTCCAACAAGAACACCTGACTTGGGGAAATTGTGCAATACCAAGGGGCTGTGACCAAGAGGGGTCCAGGCAGCCAGCGGGCATCTTGTTTATAACCACCTGCCCTTGGTCTGGGACCCAGGCCTGGGCTCTGTCTGGCTCGCATTCCAGGAATATGAGAAGTATAGTTCAGTGTTTGTAAAGTTTCTTTTTTAAGCAAATACTGTATATGTATATAAATAGGAGACAGTACTTATTTTTTCTATTTTGTATACACTCTTACGTTCCTGGCTTAACTCTCTCTTGGTCACATTAAGATGTGTCCCCGTCTGCACCACATTTGTGTTGAAGGGGCTGCAGGCTGCCCACCCCCAGCACAGGGTAGAGGGTCAGGGAGTGGCCCCACCTGACCAGTCTACCTCGGCAGGTCGGCCCAGGCACAGCTCTGCCATCCGAAAACCTCTGGAAGGAACCAGGGGCGTCACCCCCTCCCACCTTTTCTGTGTCAGGCGACTATCCCTCTGCCTCCCACGCGACTACGGCGTGTCGCCACCTCAGTATTAACCTGAGGTTACTAAGGGAGAGGAAAGGAGGCACTTCTAAAAGCCAAAGATTGACTGAGTTACCTGAGGCCAAGAAGAGGCTGCTGTGCTCAGCCTGACGTCACAGCATGGTCATCCCTGTTGGCCCCGTGGCCCTGTCTTACACCGCTTACTCGAAAGACCGTTCTGGGTCAGAACTGGTGCCCTCCTGCCGACCTGATGTGTGGATTGGGGAAGCACCCCAGTATCCTGGGCTGCCAGCCCTCGTCTCCCTCAGTTCCTGTCTGGATACCACAGATCAAAGGCCTGGGCACCGCTGTGTGTCAGAAGCGACAAGCACTTTACTTTCTGGCAGTTTTTGTGTCTTCTAGTTGCTGTCAACCCTTCCTAGGGAACAGTAACGTCATGGTTTTTAGTTCTCGTTTTTTGGGGTTTTTTTTTGTGTGTGTGTGGTTTTGGTTTTTTTTTGTTTTTTTTTTTTTTTTTTTTTTTTTTGCGTGTGTGGTGTGTTTTTGTAGATCCTCGCAGCCCCGTCCTGGACTGTAATGGAATCGCCTATTTAAAAGACACTACGTGATCTCAGATGTATATAGAATGGGTTTTTTTTAATTTGTTTTTTTTACTATGATGGAATTGTTTCAATTCTCATGTTAATGTGAGAAACGTATGCCAAATGATTAGTTTGATGTATGTTTTTTTAATTTAATATTTAAATAAAATATTTGGGGGGAAACCTTGACTTTCCATTGGTTTACCTCTGGGAGCGCATTCCTTTGAGACACTTGGGAGGCCCCAGAGGCCTGGGGACTGTTGTCTTCAGCAGGCTGGGCTGTGCAGGACTGCCACAGTGGCCTGTCTTAGCGAAAGGTCAACCGCAGGCATTTTTTTCATGGCCATTACCCTCTTTGGCCTCCCTCCTTCCTCCAAACGTTCTCTGAATCCCTTTACAAATTCTAGAAATCTTAAGCCTTTACAGGTTTAGAAGACTTTCGCAGGAAAAGCCCTCCGAACAGAGTCTTTACTATCTCCCAGCATAGGGCAGTCCCATACAGCAGCTCCTTTGGGTAAAGAAAATTCTTCAACTTCTTCACAAGTAGATGCCTGGCCCTGGGGTGGAGGCCAGGGTCCCTGCAGTGGGTAAACTTCACAGAAGCTAATGTAACAGTTCCTACCCTCTTTGGGCCTATACCCAAAATCTGGTCTCAGAGATGTTTACACACGGGGTTCACAGGAGCACAGTCAGAGGTCAAAGTTTGGGGGGGGGGAAGGTCGAGCCCAGTGTCCATTTGTGGATGGGCAAAATGTGATCCCTCCCCATAGTGGAGTATTTAGCCTTCAAAGTGAAGCCCCTGGCCGGAGTGAGTCCCGAGGCCTCGCCCAGTGAGTTAAGTCAGTCACAGCAGGCAGAGGCAATGATTGCACTTCTGTGGGGGGCCTTAGGGCAGCCAAACTCAGTAAGTAGCATGGCAGGTTAGGGAAGAGACAGTGTCTGTTTTTAACAGAAACACAGATCCAGCTTGGGACAATGAGAGCCGTCTGGAGGTGATGGCCGCACAGACGTGAGCTTTAATGCCACCGAACTGTACTTTCATGTTGGGTTTGTTATGCCATAACAAAAGTATTCAAGAGAAAAGACTTAGTGAATGGACAGTATCTTCCAGGAAGAGCCAGAAGGAGCCTCGGCAGAGCACAATGGACTCGAAACAGGGACACTGCAGGTAGTGAGAAGGCAGAATCTGAGCCAGGGCCCTCGAATGTCTGCATGAGGAGCATTGTTCCCAGGGGACAGCCCAGCCCCTCAGACTGCTAGACCGTACAGGAGGCTATGGGGGTGCCTCCTTGAATTCTGGTGAGCCTCGGCAGCTCATTCTGTGTTTAAAAATGGTTACCACATCCAGACTTGCTAAGCCAATCATCCATGAGGAAAGCCAACCCAGACTACACCTCCAAGAAAATTTGGCAGGGCCAATTCCTAGTCATGCTGCCCTTTGGCATGGCACCTAGGTTGGGAGGGATGGCAGGGCCATCTCAACCCTGTGCGCTCTTGGTGGCATTGTGGCTGAGACTGTAGGCTCCATTCAGGCTTTCCTCTTGACTCCATGGCAAATGTGATGAGATAACCCACTTATTGAATGGAAAACTGACCCAACTCCAAATAAACTTTGTCTCTGGGCCTTCCTGTGTATTTGGCTCTCAACATATATTCTTGCTAAGTCGTATACTGATATATATGTCTCAGCTCCTCACCTAGGTGGTCCTCCCCTAATGGGGAAACAAGGATATGTGGGTCATGATGCCCCAGAAAGACTGAATACAATCCCATGTGTGTAGCTCTCGTCAGCTGCTCTTTCCCCATGGCTTCCTCGAGAACTTGTGGTGTGCCAGGAGGGTGATGGAGATGATAAAATGTCATTTATATCTCTCCGATTGGAAATCAGAGCCTTGGAAAACTTGTAGAAACTTTGTGGGACTCCAGAATTCTGTCCCAGGCTAGATGGTCTCTTCACAACCTTTTCCAGGCACTCTGAAGAGGAGCAGCCATTGTTGGCTGTGGGTGGCTGAGGTCCCTTCCCAGCCCTGCCCAGTCTCCCTGCCAACATTTTTGCTCTGCAAATGGCCCCACCTTCCCAGGGAGTTTCACAAGATGTTTACATCAGGAACATGTTCGTTCCTGTCCTGGAACTAGAGGGGCTAAGTGGTGCTTTGACACACCCCTCACCGCACAGCTGCTCTTCAGGGTGTGCTGGGGTGCTTCAGCTTTCTTCCTCCTGATCCTTCTGGCCAGGGTCCAGCATACCCTGGAGCAGTGACCACTTCAGAGCCAGCAGCTGTTTACGAGAGATAGAGCCTTGTGCCCGTGGGACTCAGCACACCGTGTCTCAGTAGCGAAGAACGTGGTCTTTGCTGTCACATACCGCACACTATCCCAGCTCTACCACTTTCCAGTCCTGTGACACCGGACAGATGAACTGGATGGGCTGTGTACTATTACTGTTCTTGTTTGCAACGTGATACACTCGGTCACGGAGTCACATCTTAGGGCCGTGTGGGTTCTGACTAGTTTATGACACACCGAGGCAACAGCATAGCGCCTGCCTGGATGCAGTGAGCGTTAAGCAAACACAGAAGCAAGGACAGGACAGAGCGTTCCTCCCCCCACCTCGGGAAGGAGGGCTGTCAAAGGGCCACAGAGCTGCAGGCCCACCTACTTGTCCTAACACTCACACCGAGAGTGCCAACTCTGACGGGAGTCAGGAGGTTTCACTCAGCAGCCCCTAGATGCTCCTTGGCCGGACACGATTAGGTGTTTTTATTGCTTGGCTGCAGGCTGGCCATCTCAGCAACATGACAGGCAGGGAGGATTTCTGTTGGCAGTTTCTAGGAGTGGGACCCTCTTCTCTCCCTATATCTCAGCATGCACCAGGACGTGAGGGTGTTCCAGGCGGGCCCTTCAGAGCAGGAACTGAATCTGCCTGAGGAGGAACTGAGTGCCGGGGAGCAGAAGAAACAAAAAACAAAACAAAACAGATGTACTAGTTTTGCTTCTAGAATGAAGTGGGGTGTGATAGACACCCTGGTAAGTGGTTGGCCAAGCACCGCCTTCAGGAAATATGACCTTGGTCTTGCAGTGTGGGCCCTGAAGAACATCTGGTAGGGTTTCTGTAAGGCCTGGGAATCTGGGCCAGCCACTGCTTGTGGCTAGGTAGGGGCAGAGGTTGTTCAGTGGGGTTGAGGCATTTCAATTCCCCTTCCTCAGAGAACTGCTTGCCTCTCCACCCACTTTCGTTATTGGTATTCTATCTATTTGAATGTGATTCCTCTAAAATACTGAAAGGCCTTTAAAACACTAAGGAGACCCAGTGGCCAGCCCCAGTGACACTGGGGTCTTCCCCTTTGACCTGGAATAACTCCACGGTGGGTTGGAACCAGGCTTCCCCACAGGTGCCAGAAGTTTTCTTTGCAACCTGCAGGAAAGATGCATTTTTCTTTTCTTTTCTTTTTTTTTTTTTTTGTTTGTTTTGAGACATGATCTCGTCTTATTAAACCCATGCTGTGTAGTCAAGGATGACCCTGAACTTCTGTGTCCCAAATGCTGGGATGACAGGTGTGAGTCATACGCTTGGCTAATACCATGCTGGGGACTGAACCAAGGCTTCATCCTTTCTAGGCAAGCATTCTCCCAACTGAGCAACACTTCCCCAGCCTCCAAAGATGCGTTTTAAAAAACTGTCCAGCCTCGAGCAAGAGGTTGGATGAAAAGCAAGAACATATCCACCCCACCCCCACCCAGCTTGCAGAAGGGAAGAGAAAGACTGAAGTTTTTCAGAAGAAATACCCCAGAAACCCCCCCCCCCCCGAGGAAAGAGAGGTGAGACTGAGGCCAAATTGTACTGCAACCCCAAGCCTTTGTCCTAACTTGATGGTCCAAGAGGATAGACCACAGATGGTCCAATGCATACCACATGTGGACCGTTCCCACTGGGCAGTAAGACCTGCTGTCCCCACCCCAAGTGCCAGAGGACCTACTTCCTGTCGCTGTGGGTTGGTTGGCATTTTCTAAAGTTTTCTACTGAGCCACAACAGTGTGGCTTTCTGGGCTTGGCTCTGTTTGTTGGCATCACTGGGTGGAAACTCACTGAGCGCAGCTACATGGGTCACTAGCTCCCTCCTTAAATTGCTGAGAGGCATCCCCAGCGCACAGACATCACAGTGTGTTTGCCCAGTCACCTGGCGATTGGAGCGCGGTTTGTTTCCAGCTTGGGGCTATTAGTAACGCTGCTGCGGTGTTTGTGTGCCAGTCTGGGCTGGGGATGGTTTCATTCCTCTTGGATGATATAGGTCAAAGGGCAACAGATGGCTGGTATGGCACGACAGCTGCCAACCTTACATGAAGCTGCCACACTGTCCTGCTCCAACTCACATCCCTACCTGCAACGGACAAAGTCCGCAGCCCTCGTACCCTACACAACATTTGGCATGGTCAGCCTTTTTCTCTTTAGCCATGCTGTCCCTACTAGAGGGGTAGCACCACCTTTGTGCGATGTTAGTTTGCCTTTTTGTCAACATCTAATTCAGGCTGGCTTCAAACTTAGGACCCTCCTTCACCACCTTCCCCATCCCTGGCATCTAGGATGTGCACCAACGCAGCCATTATGTGTTCCTTTTTCACCGGGGACCTTTAAAATCATGTAATGGATCAATAGCCACCCTGTTTTTCAGGTTTATTTAAATCTATTTGCTACTTTCCCTCTGTGAGGTGCTAAGATTCGAACCCAACCTCACACACGTCATGCACAACCCTTCTCTGCTACCGGGCCACGTGCCTAGCTCCTTGCCAGTGTTTCACTGGCTTACCTGAGCCCTTATTATTGACTTGCTAGAGTTCTTTATATATTCATCATCTTAAGTCTCTCTTTGTTTTGTGGGTGTGTGTATACAAATACATTTGTAGGAAGAGAGAGGAGGACAGTCTTTCAATGTGAGGCTTTCCTTTTGTTTGAAAAGAGTTGAAGCTTTTAGTAAATTTAACTTGTGTGTTTTGACAAATTCAAATCCATTGGTTTTTTTTTCTTTTTTTTTTTTTTGTATAGTGATTTTGTATCTTGCTTAAGAAATGTGTCTATTCTGATGTGTTTTAGAATTATTATTATTGTTGTTTTATTTCTAGGTCCTTTGTATAAATTTTAGCGACATCTTGCCAGTGTCTGACTTGAATTTAAATGTCTGAGAAAGTGGTTTTC